GGGAGGAGACGGGGAGCAGCGGGCCGGCTGTGGCCGCAGCAGCGCTCACCTTGCCGGCGGCAGCGCAGGAGTGGGCAGCGCTCTCGGCAGAGCTGGGGCAGCCACCTGTGCCCTGTCCTCCCTGAGGACAAACCAGAACTGTGGTGCCAGGAGGGTAGCTGGAAGCCTGTGTCCCCCCATCCACACCCTGGCCACGGTTCCACAGCTGGTGGTGGCACCTCCCCTGCCCATTCCACCCCATCACCCCCCAAGGATGGGGACTGGGGCATCTCTATTTTGAGGAAAGGCTGGGAGACCTGCATCTGTTCAAATTGGACAAGACTGAGAAGGGATCTATCAATGCATATAAATGTCTAAAGAGTGGGTGTCCCAGTCACAGGATGAAGGGCAATGGGCACAAACTGGAACATGGGAAGTTCCATCGGAACATAGTGAAAAAAATATTTATTTTGAGGGTGACAGAGCACTGGGATAGGCTGCACAGAGAGGTTGTGGACTTCCCTTCTCTGGAGATATTCAGAACCTGCCTGAATGTGATCCTGTGCCACCTGCTTTAGGTGAACCTGCTCTAGCAGGGGGCAGGACTAGATGATCTCCAGAGGTCCCTTTCAGCCCCAATTGTTTTATGATTCTGTGTTTCCTGCAGCCAGCTGAGCTCAGTGTCAATTATAGCTGGGACTTGCTGCTCGCAGGCAGGATGGGGGTCCCAGAGGTGCCTTGGAGTAGGTGGGGGGACTTTGGGTAGCATGAGGTGTGCTGGGGGGAATGGGAACAGAGCCAGCCTGTGGCATCTCCCTGGTCTCCAGTGGGAATAGGGTGCCCCACTGATGGGGGAGCTCTGGGAAGGGGGCTGGGAGGGGGAATTTCCATGAAGCACTGTGCTGTGCTGATGGAGAAAGGTTTCAGGGAATTGTGCTGTGGGCAGAGCACGTGGGGCAGCTGGGCAGGGCCAGGGCACGGGCCCCTGCACATGATGGCTGCCTGCTTCCAACCGGCTGGGCCTGGCTGGCCCGCAGCTCCCAGGGACTGGCCCAGCCCCATGGCAAACAGCACTGAACTGGGCAAGCCGACCCCTGGACTGGGCAAGGAAGGACTGTGCCACACCTGGGGCCAGCAGTCACGGGGCTGTGCCCCTGCACTGTCCCCACCATGCTACCCACCTTGGCACAGCCCCTCCACCAGAAGAGTGGGCACTTGTGCCCTCCCCTCAGCTCCCAGCTCAGCCCCCACCGTCCCCAGGTTCTTCCTTGGCTGTGGGGCAGATGGGTCGTTGCCATCAACCCCTCCTGGCAGCACCAGGCAGGGCAGCACTGCCAGCTCTGCTCGGAGACAGGGGTCTGGGGGACGGGAGTGCCGGGGGTGCGGGGTGCCCGGCCACGTGCCGGC